AATAATAATAAACAATTAGTAAATAATTAGTAAAACATTAAATAATTAAACATTATTTTAAATGAAGAATAATTAAACATTAAGCCTAAAGTATACTTAGTTTTTGTATGCATGCGCTAGCATATGCGTAGTTGAACGCACAGCCTTTCAAAGTGCACTGTATTTGGTAGCATGCACTAACACAGGCGGTCAACACGTGTGCTCCAGAAAGTTTCATCTCTGTCCAGTCTTTGTGCTATTTTTCTCCAGAAGTTATGACTGATAAAATCTTTGTACTCTTTCAAACTAAAGTTGCATTTATCTCATAAGCCTCTCACACAAGCGCTTGCCCATGCGGGAGTCTGTTGTTGTTGTTGTTGCAGACTCCAGTATTTTTTTGTTGTTGTTGTTCCGTCTTTCTAGTTTCATTGTGGGGCAACGGATTAGTGCTAAACAAATTCAAAGCGCATGTGCGTCCAAAAATCGAGTTGTGCACATACAGTACTCGCATACTGTTCTGGTAATGAAATTTGCATCACGCACACTGTACGCGGACCCTTGCGTATGCGGAAAAACCGAAGTATACTTTAGGCCTTAGTCGGCGTCGTTTGCCAAAGTATCAGAGTGCCACAATTTCAGTCTGAATTGAGTTCTCCATAAAGTGGTGGAGGGAGGAGACTATTACAAAACTTCATTAAAACACATGGATTAATATGTTGTGCGTTGTCTGCAATAGAGCAGGGCATGCAGAGCTAACAGCAAGTCATGCAGAGGCAGCTCAAAAGTGCTGGGCTGCAGTTTCGGCCAGATGTTCTGTGAGCTATCGCTTCAGAGAAACGGGATGTGCTCTCTTAATCTTCCCATAAAGCCTGTTAAAGGAAATGTGGTGACTGAGATGCTACTTCTGTTTGACTCTAAAAGTGACTTGGTCACATATCACTGCGATTAGTTCTTTGGTTGACTAAGTATCTAAAAACTATGCTGTGCAATGGTGTGCAATCTAGTTTGCTTATCAGTTGCCTTGTTTGCATGGGAGATTTGCCAGTCGTTGATAAAACTAGAGTGGTTTCTCTTGGGTTCCTGCCATCACATTTCCATTTTCCACTGATGCTCATTCCTTTGTGCTTAACCCTTGTGCGACCTTTTGGACATTTTTGTCCTTTTCAGTTTAGTTTTTTTGATCATTTTGCCTGTGTTATTGCCAACTGCATACATTTTGGCACAGGTGTGTATTTTTATTGGAATTTTACTATTTCACTTCCATTTCCTTTAATAAATCTGTTTTGCACTAGGTACATCAAATTGTTCCTCTCAGGACCTTAAGGACAAAAATGTCCCCATTGAAACCCATTAAAACTGCTATTTTTAATCGCAGTGCCATTTAACTGTAAAATTATGCAATTTTTGTTGATAGGCTTTCATTATATTGGCAAGGCTTTAAAATTTAATTTTTTACTATTTTTTACCAGATGGTGCCATTTTTTCAGGTTTGCCCTATAAAGAAAATACTCGCTTTATTTCTGTTTTCTGCTTCTGCATATTATAGAGCCAATTGGATAAATAATGCAGCTATAATTGTGTGGGTGTGTTGGTATGGATGTCAGAGTGTGGTTTGTATGCGTGTCATAAAAAAAAAAATTGTGTGTGTGTGCGTCTCGTTCATAAATAATTTTCATAAACCTAAACATCTAGAACTTTTTTTTTGGTTTCACTTTTTTAACTTTTTTTACTTCAACAATAATCTACCATGGCACACGCTTGAGGTATTCGGCCAATCACAACGCACTGGATTGCTGGCCAATCAGAGCACACCTCGCTTTTCAGAACGATGAGCTTTGTGAAAATCGCCGCGTTTCAGAAAGGCGGGGCATAGAGAAACAATAATGTACAGTATATGGAAAATGTGTTTTTTGAACCTTAAACCGCATAAACACATTTCATTACACCAAATACACAAAATAATGTTCTTTTTAGCAACGTCATATGACCCCTTTAAAGGGATAGTTCACCCAAAAATTAAAAATCTGTCAATATTAGCTCCTCTTGTTATTCCAAACCAGAAGAGTTTCTTTCTTCAGTGGAACACAAAAGATGCTCTTTTCCAACCAATGAAAGTAAATGGTGTCTAGGGGCTGTCAAGGTCAAAAGGTCAAAGGATATACAGTATCTTTACGTGAGGGGAAAAAAATAAACAAAAATGTAAATCTTAATCTTACATAATTTTAATCAACTAATTTATACTAAAATACAGTAAAAACATGAATATTGTGAAATATTATAATTGAAAATAACTGTTTTTATGTTATTATATTTTTAAATGATATTTATTCCTGTGATGCATCATTACTCCAGTCTTTAGTGTCACGTGATTCTTCAGAAATCATTCTAATATGCTGACATTTATCTTTCAAATTATTTTTCAGGATTCTTTGATGAATATAAAGATCAATAGAGCATTTACTTGAAATAGAAACTTTTTGTAACATTATAAATATCTTTACTGTCACTTCTGATGAAATTAATGTGTCCTTGCGGAATAAAAGTAATAATTAAAAAAACATATCTTTTTTTAATGGTAGTGTATATTCCAATATGGTGTGTCAAAATAATGACAGAAATGTTTATTTTAGGTCAACTGTCCCTTTAACACACTCAGTTGAAGGGAGGTCCATTAATCTTGAAATAACCATCATTCTCCTTTATCAATGATCCAGATCATCCAAAAATGATGTGAAGATGCAGCACAATTAGTATCTTATTAAACAGATTTCACCAAGTTGCGTAATAAGCGGTATAGTGTGTTGGATAAGGTAAGTGTGGTCTATGAAGTGCAACATCCAGCTGGCAGCCCAAACTACTCTGGCCCACTCACTGGAGTGCAGCGCCAGCAGTGGTATAAAACAATGGCATACGAGGACGTGGTGTAGCAGCAGGGTTTAACAGCCCTTATGTAATTCCTAGAGCCTCTAACATGGGCACAGACAGAAACAATGGAGCTCTAGAAAGATTTCAGGTAGAAATCATGCCAGTTTTATAATATCATTCATTACTCAGGCTGTTCCACCATGACAACTTAATAAAGAGAAGAATATGAGAATTGGATTAATAAAACTGTTACATACCGTCATGAATCTCAAAGGCCAAACTTGTGATCTTCTGTGTGATGACCATCATGGGCCTGGAGGGAGAAAAGGAAAAAGAAATGTATGTGAGAGAGATCCTGTTTAAACCTGATATTGAGTCTGTTGGATTCACATGTACGTAAGAGCTTCTACTTCTATCAAACCAAGCTCTTCAACATTTATTATTTATACAATTGCACTGACCAAATCTCCACACAGTTTCTAAAGGGTCGAGTTCACCTTGGTGTAGCTCTTATGTCAAACCTGCTTGAAGGTTGAGCTATGATACTGATCTGCTTTTATCGTACTGTATGGTAAAACTAGCACTTATATACTTGCCCTTGGCTGTAGTTAACATGTATATTTCTAAAGAATAAAGCTGAATGCATGCATATTTTAGTTCTGAGATTGCTGCAAAGCAGAATATGTACACAGATTTTTTCACTTATGTTTAATCTTTAAGTGACAAATATTCTGAGGTTCAAGTATGAGGCTTTATGAGGCATCTTTTCACAACATAGATAAGGAAATTTATTTAAAACCCCAATACTTAATACAATTATGAATTTTTAGGTTAGTTTTCTATTATTTTTTCAATTTGTCCTTTGAATTTAGTTTGGTTTTGGTCGTTTTCACTACATCATTTTTATTTTTATTTTAGTTTTAGTATGTTTAGTGTTTTCTAGTTTATTAAATTTATTCAGTTTTGGTTTTATATTTAATGTGTTTTTTTTGCTCTAATGCTTTCTAATGCTCACCAAAGCTGCATTTATTTGATCAAAATACTGTAAAAACAGTAATTGTGTAATAGTATAACAATTTAAAATAACTTCTGTTTTCTAATTTTGTGGAAAGCATGATACATTATTTCAGGATTTTCTCTTTTTTTTTGATGAACAAAGTTTAAAACAACAACATTTCATTGAAATAAAATAAAAATAAAAGTCTTTACTGTCACTTTTAAACAATCCTTGTTTAAAAAAAAACATTCTTACTGATGCAAACTTTTGAACAGGAGTGTAAACTAAACTAAACTAAACTGAACTAGCATAAATAAATATTTTAATTTCTCAGCCTAGTGTTATTGCTATATAGTGACAGTTTTCATGTATAATGCAGGTGTCATTTTAACATACCATCTATCACGAACTAAATTAATTTATATTTTATAGTTATTTTTATTTCACTTGCACTTGTTTAGGAGTCATGAAAATGTATTTTAGTTTAGCCTGCTTTTCACAGTCAGTTTTTCTTTTATTTTTATTCCAGTTGGCAAAAGCATTTTCATTCAGTTTTCGTTTTCTTGGAAATTATGCTGATTCCAGTGCAAATTAACTTACCCAGTGAAGTCTGCTGAGTACATGCCGTAGTCAAACACATAGACTCTTGTGACCTGGCAGAAACTGAGATATCCCAGCGTAACCACAAAGCAGTATCTATGGAGAAGAATGCAGAAGAGGGGAACACTTAAAAACACTGAATGGAAAACTAAAAAAGACTGTTTGGTACAAAATACCACATACTACTCCATTTCAGCAGAACATATATTGTGGTCACTATGCAAATTCTATGTATGCAAAATGTGTACAAAAAAAGTACACACTCAACAAACCACACTGTGTGAAATACTGTATCCCACAATGCATTGCACTGAACCTGACTTTCCATTTCCTGCATGACAACTAAACCCAAAGTAATTTTAACATGTCTTTCTTGACTTACCTTTTGCAGTTCAAACAAATAAGTCATTGTTATAGATTCAAATTTGCAAAATAAGGGTTTATGTTATTCATGAGATTATAATTTGATGTCACTAACTGAATTAATAATAGGGTCGTGTGAATACAATAATTGTTATTGATGAACGTGAACGTATTACATATTATTTTTTAAATAAATAAGCATTAATAAGTAAATAAAATAAGCAGTGTAAAGTATATACATGCATGCAATATGCAGCAAGCATCAAATTCACTAAATATCAAAATGTACAAATATTTCTTATTATTTAATTATTTATGTATTTTTAGAGTTTATTTGAATTCATTAAAAGACAAAAAACAGCTAAACTAGTCAAATAATAAATTATTTAAATAAAAAAATAATTTCATTAGTATATTCTCACTCTTTTTATTTGGTTAATTTAAATGCAAGAAGAAATGTTCATTATCCCCACAAACATTTATCAAGAGGCGCCACCTATAGTAAAATCACCCGAGCCCCCACTTTGCAGGAAACCTCTCACATTTGATATCTGATATTACACATTATAATTCATGCAAGCTATTTGCATACTACAACAAATTTGTGAGTGGAGAGAGAGTGATCAAGGCTGCTCTGTACCATCGCTGCCTAAAGCGGCATGTTAGAACAACACAATCAGACTCAAGCCATAATTTCAACTCGGCTTATGAACCTCCTCCCACAACCCGATAAGGATCGCTCTTTTATTCAGCATATTAACCATCAAAAGGAAGATAACAGCCACTAAAACTTATCAAAGACACACTGAATTTCAGCAGGGCCTCAGTGTGAGGCAAAAGCCTTTGAATTTTCTCCCACTATCAGTTGCACACAGCTGCACAGCGTTTGGTATGTCAGACTCAAATAACCAAGTCCCCCGATTCCTCACTAAGCAACAGTGGGCAAATTCTTGGCATTCTAGTTTCTGTCTTTGCCTCTAACAAAGCTGGTTTTAACATGTCTACTGTACAGTCCCACTCATAGCATTCAGAGGCAGTGCCTGCTCCGTCTCAACACTAGGCCCTTCATCAGGGCTATGAGTAGCACTGTGTAAACTATGAAGACCTTCTTCTGTTCCAGCGCTCTGTAGGATGATTGTGTGGAGGCTGTTTTCTGGTTGTACAAGGAACATTGTACAGTTAGGAGATGGACTGTGATGAAGAATGGTAGTGGGTCAGTCAGTTTACTTAAAGGAAACTTATGCATCCCAAATTTAATTGTACTAAAAATGGAAATGTAAGTGGATTTTCAAATTGTGCATCCTTGAATGCTTTTTTATCAGCTAATATTACCCAATCGCAAAACAATACAGTTGATGTTCTCTTTCAACCTGTTCAGTAATAATGAATTTCAAAGTAATGGATGTAAATTATAATGCTAACATGCACACGCAACAGTTCGTGAAAAGGGGCTCTGTGGTATCATTTTTTGATATGGTAGGACATCTCAACACAGGTACTGTTTTAATGCATGTGCAAAATTATGTAAATTCAGATGTTGCCTAAGCTGTCATTAGCTATGTTTCCATCACCCTGTTTTAATGCACATTTTGAAGTATCGCATCAGAAATGAGAGACGGAAATGACAAATTTCTGAAAAAAAAACACCTTAATTTAAAAAAATAATAATAATTACTCTCACTTGATGTGGTTTTTGACTTGTGCGAAAGAGTTAATGCAAATAATGGGAGATGGAAATACATTTACCGAATAAATTCCTCCATGCGCTTAAAAAAACACTTATTCGCAAATGTTTTATGTGATATTCCAATTTTGCGCAGAAGTTAAATTCTCAACTTTGCATGGAAACAAAGCTATTGAGAGACATATCTATTTATTAATGTTAGAAACATAAATATACAATACTAAACATATTAAATTACTCAGTAACTTGGCACACCATGATAAACAACAACTTCCTCAAAACAGTGTAGATTAAAACCAAACCGAGGTCACTTACATACAGAGGTCTTAAAGGTACAGTAACAAAAACAGTTTGTTTAAAGCAGTGGTCGCCAACCCGTCGATCGCGATCGACTGGTAGATCTTTATCACTGTCCCAGTAGATCCCGAAAATAACAGTAAAATAAGTACAAAAATGGATCTTGTCTTTCATAAAGGCCGAGGTCAGGGATCTTGGGCCTAAAAAGGTTGGTGACCACTGGTTTAAAGGGACACTGAGAGAGGGTGGAAAATGTTCATGTACAAGTAAATTGGTCATGCGACTGTCTTTGATGCAAAAATACTTGACAAACATTGCGGATGAGAAAGAAAATAAATTGCAATCAATTAATGTGTTCTGTATTTTTTATTTTTTTTTAAGAGAGATTTAAACTACGCTGGTCAGGATGATAAAGGGACAGTTCACCCAAAAATGAAAATTCTGTCATTAATTTCTCACCCTCACGTCGTTCCAAACCCATAAGACGGTTCATCTTCCGAAAACAAATTAAGATATTTTTGCGGAAATCCAAGAGCTTTCTGACCCTGCAGAGACAGCAATGCAACTATCACCTTAAAGGCCCAGAAAGGTAGTAAGGACATTTTTTAAATAGTCCATGTGACAGCAATGGTTCAACCATAATGTTATGAAGCTACGAGAATACTATTTGTGCACAAAAGAAAACAAAAATAACAACTTTATTCAACAAGTTGGTCACATGGACTATTTTACAGTGTCCTTACTACCTTTCTGGGCCTTGAACGTGGTAGTTCCCTTGTTGACTATGAAGGGTCAGAAATCTCTCGGATTTCATCAAAAATATCTTAATTTGTGTTCCAAAGACGAACGATTAATTATTTCATTTAAAAAACACATTTTAAATAAATATACACAGAAAATCTACAAGAAATCCATCTCTTTTCCTATACGGGCTTTGCCAGAGAGCATAATCTGATACTGTGCTTTTCAAGGACTCACACACTACAGTAGCCCTTCTATAAATATACATTTACACTATTCCTCTCTAATAAGACAGACAAGAGCTCCAGTGACCCGTGATGAGGGCAGGTTGTGATCTCTCACACAAACACACACACACACACAAGCAACACAATCTCTCCTGGTTCTACTTTCATTTGGCAATAACCACCACACACAGTCTCAAGATGATCATTTATAAAGGTGAGACACAGAGGTGAGGTGTTATCAGCAGCTGTTAGATGGGGTCTCGTCTACACCATAAAACCCTACTCTCACATGCCTGAGTGGAAACATATTAAAGCAATAAATCACATCATAAAAGCGTCATTTCTAATGAAACGGGGGACAATGACACCATTGTGAGATAGAACAAGACCTGAGAGAACAACCTTCCACCAAATCTCTTTAACTCTCAGAGCAGAAGTTAATGGCACACTGTGTTGTGTATGATTTCAGGAATTTCACATGGGGCTGAATTTGAAAGCAAGAACGACTGCTGTGTGAACGCTTACCAATCTGTATTGAGTCTTGGAAGTTTTCTGAACTTCACAGTGATGCTCAGAAACAAGCTGTCAAGAAATATACATCCATAAGAGCTCTAAAGGTACATTCACACCTACAGTAATTTAATCGCTGAAGGTCACCAAGTTGCTGTATGTGCTTAAAGTTAGTAGGAGTTTATACTGGACTGAAGTGTCCAACTCTATCAGGAGGCAGATCACGTGAACGTCACGGTCTGCTATATTATTGGCCATCTCCATGTTACTATCCATCAAACTGATGGAACTTTGCTGTAACGCCAACTAACACTGAACACACAAATTGTAGACTCTCATTGAAAAGTCACTGATTTCTGTTAGAGCATCTTAATGACATCAAAACTGACCCTATTTGCTTAAATTGATCATCTTATTAAAGAATGACTGTCCTCTTTATCTTTTTTTAAAAATGCATACACTTAAAAAAAAAAAAAAAAGTAATTGAGGTTATTGATATACGCTAAATGGTAGCCAAATAATCATTTAGGCATTGTTGTTTTATGCTACAGTTGTAGGTATCGCATAGGGCTGGGCGATATGGCCAAAAAAATTATCACGATAATTTTTTTTCATATCAGTCGATACTGATAATTATCACGATATCGCGAAGTTTTAAGGCAGATTTTTGTTCCAATGTGAAAGTTGTACAAACCAGACAGTTAATTGGGTTTTAAACTATTCTTTATGGTCAGAACATGACAAAAACTTCACGTTTTTTTGAATTCTTTACACTGTTCCAGTGTTTCAAAAAGGCGGGGCATAGAGGAGAAACAATAATGAACAGTATGTGGAAAATAATGTGTTTTTTGAACTTTAAACCGCATAAACACATTTCATTACACCAAATACACAAAATAATGTTCTTTTTAGCAGCATCATATGACCCCTTTAACAAAATAAATATCTTAATAGAAAAAAAAATTTTTTTAGTTCTGCATGTTCTAATCAGTAATATTGTTTCAAATCAAGAAACAGGTTTGTGTTGCCTGAACATATTAATAATTAATAATATAACATTTTTTGTCTCTTAGAATACACATTTGATAGTAGCTTGAGTTAGGATGCAGATGTAGATTTATGTTCATTATCAAAATCGGTAATACCTGTAAAAATTGTAGCGACCTCATTTTATATGGTGAAATTTAATTATTCTGACTGTTTGAGGTTTTATTTTTTAGTAACCATTGGTCTTTCATAGTAGCATACATTTAGATCATGATAATCACAGTTAA